AAGGGGCCTAGTCATCGAGGACAATGAATCCTAGAAGGGGGGTAATGTCATGAAGTGCCGCTTTTCCCCTATCTTTTCCTTTCTTAGTGCCCATTCCCCTTTCAGCGCCTGTTTGTCACTTTGACGCCCATTTGTTACTTTGACGCCTACCAGATACCCGGTTCCCCTCTCTTCATCATTCCCATCATTTCCTTCCTCATCCTTGTTCTTTCACATCGTCTTCACAACCCATCCTATCCATTGTTTCCCTTGTTCTCTTTGTTCTTTTATATACAACAGTTACTCGTTCCGGACTAGTTCTTATTCCATACCTGGACTACTATTGTTCTTTCCTTGTTCCCTATTATCTTTCTTTATTCTCGCGCGACTCACATTCCAGTATATAAGCTAGGCAGTTTACACCTGGTCCCTCATCTTGACCTCTTGTCATTGGGACCAGGTGAGTAGATAACTTTGTTTCTCTTTACCTTCAATATATCTAACTTGTCATTGGGACCAGCTCCTTTATCTGTCTTGCTCTTTGCTCGCTGTCTCTGCTCTCCGTTGTCGTCTCTGCTAGACGACTTCCGCCACCGTTATCTCTGTGTCCAATGTCTTAGCGTTCGGCGCTTTAGGACAGGATGTCAATGATATTGTTTCGTCTTGCTCGCGCGGAACACATCTATCTCCAGATTGTGATGAACAGTATTCGGGCTCAGTACTATGCAATGTCTTTCTTCATCCCCTGAACTGACAGAAAAGTTTTTCGCCCAGCTCGATATCTAGACTTCGAATCCTCGTCAGCTGAGAACGCGACCACCCAGGGAAGGTCCCAACTCTACAGCTCTTCACAGCAGCACGCGTAACTTCACCCTGTTCAAAAAGACCTCATGATGGTCTTCCCAATTCAATCATCTTTCAATGATTCCTGTTGAGCTGAGAACAGGTGCCACCATCATATAAAAAGTAACCCCACGCATTGTTGATCTCTTTTTCTCTAGGCACCTGCCCCCACATCTTCCTTCCAAAAAACGCAACGAAACGAATACTCACGACCGAAACCATGGCACTTGCTCCTGCTCAAATCCGGACGATACTTTATTGCAAGTCCCCAGTTCTTTTATTAAACTTAGCTCTCTCTTATTTTCTCACTACGGCGGCTCTACAGCTTTGATCATCTTCTT